AAATCGGATATTGTTGCTCGCGCTCTAGACCTGTTCTCAGATAATGCTCCACCACCTGAACTCCTAGAGGTATTCTTGTCCTGATAATCTGATGAAATGAAGCAAACAGGCCATGTAGGAAGAGATCTCATCTGCATGGCCAACTCATTGTAGAATGGGATGGGACAAGGGAGCATGTCTTGGGGAGAGTGATGGCGCTAGATAAAGAAGTGTGCTTGGCCAGATTAGGCCTGTGACACAGGTTTCCCCACGCCTGCTTTAACCATTAGTAATTTCATGGGTGATGAGGCATGTGTGTGTTTCTCTCTCTCAGATTATCAATGAAGATGTTCTGAAACAAACTTGCGATGCTCACCAGCTGTGCATCATTTCCGTCTTGCCCCATATTCTTGACACAGGTAAATAAAAGCGAGAAAAAGCTTGTTGTCTCTCCCCACCCCAAATCGTGTTTGTAATAAGTGCCTCAAACACTTTTGCCCTTCCCCGTCTTGTCATAACAGGAGCCGCAGGTAGAAATTCCTACCTGGAAGTCATGCTGAAATTGGCAGATAAATACAAAAAGAAGATGTGGGGGTAAGTCACATCAAAACGCATAGAAGGGAAGAAATGCTGCCAGACCCGTTACTTTTTTAGTGGACGGGTCATTTGTATTCTGCAAAAGAACGTGCCCCATTCAGACATGCAAAGGCAGCTATTGTTATGAATGTAACATGTGGGAAAGGCAATAACTCAGTGATAGTGTATTTGCCTTGCATGTGGAAGGTCTTAGTTCAATCCCTGGCCTCTCCAGTTAGAGCCAGGAAAGTTCCCTGCCTGAAACCCAGCAGAACCTGTTGCTAGTCAGTACACTGCAAGATAGAGCAATGCTCTGACTCAGGATTAAGCAGCTTCCTATGTTCAGGGGATCAGGGATTAGGATTGGATGGTATGACTGCACACTACAGCCAGCTTTCTCTCTCTCCCTCCCTCACCCTTGTCCTGCTTTGGTGTTCCATTTCACGAACATTAACCAAGGTTCAAAGGAAAGGAAGGAAAAACTAGTTTTTTTAAGGCATACAGATGTGAACTGACTTTCACATACAATGGCGGTGATGTGGGGTTTTTTGCCCCCCAGGTGGTTGTGGACGGAAGCTGGAGCTCAGTCTGATCTTGAAAACTCCTTTGGAATTGGAGGGTTTGGCTACCCAGCCATGGCAGCCGTGAACGCTCGGAAGATGAAATTTGCACTGCTGAAAGGATCTTTCAGCGAGCAAGGAATTAACGAGTTCCTAAGGTACAGAAATATCTGTGTACGTTTTGCTCCATTTGATGGTATCCAAACGGCAAGAACCATATGCCTTTTCCCCTCAAGGTTTGGACACAAGTTGTTGTTTTGCATTGGTAGAAGAATGCTACTGGACTTGAAAATCATTCTTAGAGTTGCTTTTTATTTTCCCATTATATCGGAGCTAATTTTTACATGAACCCTTTATGTGTGCTTTAACCTTTTATGGGTCCTTGGTTTTGCGTAAACCTTCTGAGCGTGTTAGGCAACTTTTTTAGGTGCAGTAAATGAAACAAGGAGACCATATATTGCCCACTGGGTGGTGGAAAACAATTATGCCATCTCACACTTGCTAATGGTTTGGTATTTTTTCACCCACTCAAAAAAACAAAAGCAAATTCTAAACATGACGGAACCTTCTCCTTTTAGGGAACTCTCCGTTGGTCGAGGGTCCACAGCACCTGTAGGTGGAGGGGCTTTTCCAAAAGTTAACACAGTAGAGCCATGGGACGGCAAAGATGGCGAGGTAAGAAGTGCCTTCTTGAACTGTGCGCATCAGAGCATTTTGTTTTAGTGCTTGTTTGGGGATAAATGGTCTCTTTTGCAATCCACTCCATAGGTTGTGATTTTGGATGGGGCATTCTGGGGTGTCTTCCCCCAGGCTGCCCGTTACCAGATCAGATTTAATAGCATTGTAAACATCTGTTCTGTCTTCACGTAGACTATGGATAGCCAACCTGGTGCCCCCCCATATGTTGCCAGACTACAACTCAAGCCATCTGTCACCATTGACCATGCTGTCTGCAGCTGATGGGAGCTGTTGTCCACAACATCTGAAGGAGTACTACATTGTCTGTCATAGACTGCTAAAATCCCAATTCTCATTGTTCATCTATAGCAGGCACATCCAACTGCCAAGAGACTGCAATCTACTCCCAGTATAAAAAAAAACTGGCTGTTATCTACCCATTGTCATTGCCAGGAATTGTTGAGCTTTTTTAGGGGAGGGATGCCCTTTTTGAGGATCAGTGAGGACCACACAGGCGATCACTCTAGCGATCGGCCTGTTGGACATGCCTGGTCTATAGTATTGCCATGTCTCTCCTGCTGTTTAGCTCATCAGAAAACCTCTTTTTTTTTCCCCACTTGAAGTCAGTCTCTCTCATATTTCTTTGATTGCAGTTCTCTTTTAAAACTTTCCGACCGTTTTTTGGTCTTATATACTGCTATAGATGGTTTTGGCAACTTCCCTGCGTGTGATGCTCTATTAACAAAACTCTTGCAACAAACCACTGTGCCAAATAAAAAAGTACTCTCTCAATATATACCTGCTAACTTCAGTTTATAAATGTCTCTGGTTAGCGTTTTCTACTTGCTGGTGGCATTGAGAGTGAAGCAAGTTCACAGGAAAACTGAACCACCTTCCAATATCAAAGTTTTAATGAGCTGCATACATCTTTGTGTATGAGTAAGAGCTGTCTGTTCAAGGGCTGCCAACGTGGTGCAGTTCAGCTGTTTAGGACTACAGCTCCCATCAGCCTCAGGCAGTATAGCCAATGGCAAGTGGATGGTTGGAGTTGTAGCCCACAATGCCATAAAGGCACCACTTTGGCTCTTCTTGCTCTAGTTAAATTGCAAAAGTTTATCCTCTAATTTGAGGACACATTTAATAAGGATGTTGGTCGAGGTGCACAAACTGAAAGGTAGCTAAACCTTTGTTTTAAAGCAAAGAAATCTCCTGCAACAATGGCTGGCATAGATAAGTCTTACAGTGGTGCCTCGCAAAACGAAAAACTCGCAAGACGAAAGAGTTTTCCGTTTTTGAGTCGTTCCGCAAGACGAATTTCCCTATGGGCTTGCTTCGCAAGACGAAAGCCCATAGGGAAATCTCCGGGGACCTCTTCAGAAGAGGTCCAGGAAGGCGGGCGGGGGCCGAAAGGCTTTGCTCCCCACCGCCAGCATTTTAAAAGCGGTCCGGGATAGCAGGGAATTGCGCTGCACTTTCCCGCTATCCCGGACCGCTTTTAAAATGCTGGCCGTCGGGAGCAAAGACTTTCGCCCACCGCCGGCCTTCAGAAGAGGTCCTGGACCTCTTCTGAAGGCCGGGGGGGCAAAAGTCTTTGCTCCCCCCCCCCCGCCTGCCTTCCCGGGACAGCGGAGACTTCTCCGCTGTCCCGGGGCGATCTTAAAATGCTGGCGGGCGGCAGCGAAGCCTTCGCTGCCGCCCGCCAGCATTTTAAAATCGCCCCGGGACAGCGGAGGCTTCGCTGCCGCCCGCCAGCATTTTAAGATCGCCCCGGGACAGCGGAGAAGTCTCCGCTGTCCCGGGGGCTTTTAAAATGCTGGCGGTCAGCAGCAAAGCCCTCCTGTCCCCGGAGCTTGCGGGGCGAGAGGTGGGGAGAAGGGCTTTTCTTCCCACCGCCAGCCTTCAGAACAGCCTTCTGAAGGCTGGCGGTGGGAAGAAAAGCCCTTGTCCCATCCCCCCCCAGCCTTCAGAAGAGGTCGGGGGACAGACTGTCCCCGGACCTGGTCTGAAGGCGGTTTCCATAGGAACGCATTGATTGATTTTCAATGCATTCCTATGGGAAACCGTGCTTCGCAAGACGAAAAACTCGCAAGAAGAAAAAACTTGCGGAACGAATTAATTTCGTCTTGCGAGGCACCACTGTATTTGTGTGTTGGCCATGTGCGTTTGAGCTTCCTGTCATGGTTCGAGCACACGGTTTCTGAATTCGTTCAAAGAAGCACATGGAGACACCAGTTGATGCATCTGGATACCTGTAAACTTGATTCACACTCTTGCTTGGTTGCCTTATAGCTGCCAGTCGAAGAGGATATCGATCTCAGTGATGTAGATCTCGATGACTGGGATACCCAGAAGGACGAATTGTGAGAGCAGGAAGACACTTTGTTCCTTGAGAGACTTTGAGCAGTAGTTTGATGGAACATCTCTTTGCATCCCACGGATACTCCAGTGGCCTTTTTGCCGAGAGACGCCCCCTCGGCCAGCTGCCGTAAGCACTGTTGCAAGTGAACTGTGTGCCTCTCAAGAAAGCCCATCTTTAAAATTCTGTGAATTTTTTTTTGTATCGAGTAAAATTGATTGTATCCTGTGCAACAGATATTTGCGGGGGGCGACGCTGATCTTTCATTGAAATACTCCTGTTTTAGCTTTTCTCCAGCTGGTATGTGGTTGACCGTGACTCAAGACTTTGTTTAACTAGTTTTAAAACGTGATCTAATTCTCTCCCCCTCCCCCTCAAAAATCTAGGTTATGCCAGCCTTCGTTTCAATGAAAGAATAAAACAAATATTTTTGACACACAGTGTCAGTGTTGTACATTGTATGCAGCACTATCTTCTGATAAACAGCACAGTGTTTCTGGTGTCATTACGCGGTAAGCGCTTAACAGCACCAGAGGAGCTATTTTACTTTGGATACTTCAGTTTCATCTCACCTTTTTGGAGCCTTAACAGGTTTACAGAAGCACCGTATTGCTTGAAGGTGTCCTGGGGGGAATGTCTGTTGCAGGCATAACTCTTAATGGATGTTACTTGCAGTTGGAATCTTCTAGGAGTAATGTTGCATTGATGCTGGTGATACGGAAAAGGAGCTGATCTGCAGTGACTGCTGAACAGTTATTTCACAGGAAGAAAAGGTTTCCTAATACAGCATTCCTATTGTCTGATACAGAACCAGGTAATCCAGGTTGATTTGATGTACAGTGTTTGGCTCCCCCCCCCCGAGGGGTTGTGCAAAGGAATCTAGTTTCCAGTATTAAACAAATGTTTCCTTCTGCAAGTAGTACAGAACTTCCCGGTAAGAAATACTTGACAGCCTTTCTATAGAGAGCTATCTCTTTTGTGTATCATTTCTGCCAATTACCCTTTGAGAAGTTTATTAACGTCAATATTGCCACTCTTAAATTATGTACAGACTTAATTGTTACCTATAGTTTGTGTTACAAATTTACTTCGACTTAGGGATTAATCTTGAACTTGTTTGTAAGAGGGGACACATATACTCTGCCCTTGTCAGAGAAACTACTTCCACCAAACTTGTCAAAATGGATTAGATTTTCCAGCACTGTATTTTATTAATCTATTGCCAGCCAAGTTTCTCCTTTTCACCACACATTAGATTAGTGGAGGGATTAAGTATCTTATTTATTGCAAGTCCTACATTGAAACAGCTCACCCATCCCCAAAATTAAGAATCTGATCTACTGATTAACTTTCATGCAAGAGTTTGTACCTTTGACTGATTCCAAATGTTACAGATTTAAGGAGTACTTTTATCATCTTAACCATCAGATACCGCTTGATTTTTATTTAAAATCCTGGTTCAGAACTTTAATTTACAAAAAAAGAAGAATAAATACAACTGTAACACAACTGCCTTGTGAAGCATGTTTTCTAACATGATCAGAAGAGGCTCCAGAATCTTAATACTTTCAAAATGGAAGAGGGCAAAATTACTGTATCTGTAAAAGCAGGCAAAGCCTGGGAACTACAAATGAATACTTGCTTACAGTTATTTAATCCTCCTTCATGAAAAAAGGCGCCAATCGCACGGTCCCCTCAGAACTTGGGTTCTTAAAAAAGCAGCTTGGAGCGGAGGTGCTTGCCACATCAGTTTCATTGTTCGTGAACCACCAAATCCTAAAATGCTAGAGGACAAATGATGCTCCCAAGTCAGGCAATTATTAGCTGCACTCAAGAATACTGAGGTCAATCTTGAAATAGACATAAGGATAGTAGTCTTGATTGCCTAGTTGCAAGCCAGGAATGTCCATAGAAGTCTGGGGAGAAAGATTCAAGAATGTAACTAGTGCCAAACTGCCCAGGTAAGGTACATTAGGGGGTTAGGTGAGAATAAGATTATACTGCAAGTTGGAAGGGATCCTAAGGGTCATCTAGTCCACCCCCCACCCCACCCCACCCCGTTTTTGTGATTCGCTCACAGAGCAGAAATGGCACTTTTCATTCAGTAGACACTTACATCCATTATGCTGGCTGCTGCTACTTCATCCAGATGTTTGAAGACTGCATTAAGGACGTCTCTCAGTCTCTTTGTGGACTTCTTGTTGGGCTGAATTAGCATTGCTTGGAAATTCACTGGTAGGCCATACCTTTATAAATGGAAAGAAATGTGGTAAACTGTCAAGCAGATAACTTGATGCAACTATTTTAAAAAGTGGGGGAAGGTAGTTAACTGCAAATCATGCAGTGATCCACCGGTAGATCAGTAAGGGTTTATGGTTATCAGTTGTGGTGTATCAGTAATAAATGGGGGACAGGACCCTTTCCAAATTAAAAGCCTGGGGGAAAACGAGGAGTTAATATTTCCATAAAATGACTGAGTGTTCAATTCCCTCTCTGTTCCTTAAGTCTGTCTTGGCTCCCCAGAGCCACTGCCTTTCACTTGGCTTCAGCCAATGGCATCTGAAGGCTTTAATAATAAAGAGATGCCACAAATCTGATCTACTTCCGCTATTTCTGTTGACATTTCTCTTACTGGCTGGAGCAACCCGGCCAGATGGGCAGGGTATAAATAAAAATAATAATATTATTACTGATTATGGAACAAGCTACCTGTTTCTAGTTTTGTATGCATGGTCCTTTTTGTGTTATGGGTGGAGTCCCTGAGAGTGCTACCTGTTTCAATGCAGAAAGTTTTGAAGTGCAACCTACCTGAGGACAGATTCTGAGAAAACTCTAAGAGCCTTTATGTGAATCCAGGCCACAAATGATTCACTGAAGTTCACCTTTAACCAACGTAGTAGTGGACCCTTTGAGAGGAAAAACAAAAGCGGCACACCGTACTTAGATTTGTTTAGAGACACACTGTAATATTTTTAAGACACCCACCAAACTCTGCTATGGGGATCTGTATGGCTTAAGTCACCACATTACTGTCCATAGAAATTGTAGTTCTTTATGCAATATATTGATATACCCAATAGGGGACAGTCCTCTCGTCCCTGCAAATGCTCTTGTTCTATAACTAGGTCAGGTAAAATGGAAGAATGTGAAATACCATTAAATGGTAGCAATTTGTCATGAATTTAGTTTATCATGATTGGGGGGGGGTTATGGATTTGCTTCCTAAAACGTGTGGGGAGGCTGTGGCCTTTAGGTGTTGAACTAGAAGCTCCCATCATTCCTGTCCACTGGCATGAGAGTTGGCATCTTAACAACTGCAGGGCCACAAATTTCTTAGGGCCCTGGCCTAAGGCCTAAACATATATTGGACGGCTTCTGAATGCTAGCAACCTTCTCCATGTATTGTTGCAAGAGCAGGGCTTCACTTGGAGGTATTTGTTCCACTTCTAGGAAGGAGAAGTACCCCTGCCTTGAATCAATTGAATATAATGATGGAGGCGCTGTCTTGCTCCTGCTTTAAATTAAATAAGTGCTCCTATGCTTGAATGTTAAGGGGACGCGGGTGGCGCTGTGGGCTTGCCGATCGAAAGGTCGGCGGTTCGAATCCCCGCGGCGGGGTGCGCTCCCGTTGCTCGGTCCCAGCGCCTGCCAACCTAGCAGTTCGAAAGCACCCCCGGGTGCAAGTAGATAAATAGGGACCGCTTACTGGCGGGAAGGTAAACGGCGTTTCTGTGTGCTGCGCTGGCTTGCCAGAGCAGCGATGTCACGCTGGCCACGTGACCCGGAAGTGTCTGCGGACAGCGCTGGCCCCCGGCCTCTAGAGTGAGATGGGCGCACAACCCTAGAGTCTGGCAAGACTGGCCCGTACGGGCAGGGGTACCTTTACCTTTTATGCTTGAATGTTAGGAAGCCTTTCAGCAACAACCACAGGGAATGAAATGGCCTCTCAATATTATTCAGCCTATTTGTGAGCAGAGGGAAGAATCATTTCACCAAATTTCTCCTGAGGAAATATCTGCCCAGGATTAGCAGTAGCATAGGTTCTCATTTTACCCTAAATTTCACATTTTCTCAACAACAACAAAAAACTGAGAAATTTTAGCTCAGCTCCAGCATAGGGTGGGAGGAACTGTGTCATTGATCACCAGTGAATTCACTGGAACTACCAACAAGTAGGTGTGATGCTTGTGGAACCAACATCACACACAGTGCTTAAGACAGTAACTGATGAACTAGTGAAGGAAAAGGAGGGAACCAGAACACAGCTCAGAGAGTTGTGGGAAATGTCCTGTCAAAATCATTATATTGTGGAAAGACATCCAGTTAACTGCACAATTGTTTCACTGAAAATACCACCACCATACACTTAGGGTATTCAATTGGCATGAGAGTTGTCATCCTTGGGTAATATAGGAAGGTCTCTTCAATCATTGTATCTCTAACCTATGACCTAGAAACCAATACTTAAGAGAAAAGACAGGGGTGTGAACTTAATTTGTGTACTCACATACTGTTGCTTCTTATCAGAAGCCAACTTCCTCATTTCTTCCTTTTCGCATTTCAGCTCTTTCTCATCGTAATAAAATTCCCGCACCATGAACCTTGAAGCAAATAGCAAATGAGAATAGATTGAGATTCAGAAGGCTCTGTCTTATTGAAACCTCTGCATTCTATTTGCCTGCATTTTTAAGCTGTGCAACATGTCAAATATTACGAATTAAAAAGCTATGCCAAGCCATGTTGGCGCAGCAGGTCCTCTTAAGCAGGCAAGTCACATCAGACCTATCACAAAAGCTTTCTAGGAGCTCTTGCAATTAGCATGCATTTCTTTCTCTGCTCTAATGGGTCTGTACACCCACAAGGATGTATCAGAAGAGGGGAAACTGACTTCTTCAGAAAACTCAGCATGGCTTTAACTTCACAACACTCTTGTTGAGAGATAGTGGTCACGCTCTACTAAATTCATAACCACGTGTACTCAGAAATAACTTGCCTTGAATTCAGTGGGGCTTACAGCCAGGTACGTGGGGTTCTAATTGCACCCTTTAGGTACAATTCTATAACACACCTCACTAGAGAGCACACTCCACTGAACACAGTGGGACTTAATTCTGAGTAGGCACACATAGGATTGCATTATAACTAGAACTGAAATGAATAAATGTAATACACAGTGGCCTCTGCCATCAGGGGGACCAAAGGCAACTGACCCCTGCTTTCAGGAAGGACAGCATGATAAGGGTGGAGACCACCCTAGTTCTAACCAAAGGAGGAGCAACCTGCCTCCTCCCTGACTTTCCAAGTGATTTTCCTTTAGTGGCCTGTTTTTTTAGATGGGGGAATGTGTTCTAATTAATTGTAGCACGCTCTGGAAGCCATTTTTGGCTCAAAAGAGTGGGGCGAAAAGTACTTTTAACAAAACAAGACCCTGGATAGGTGCAAACTGATTTTTTCCATTGGTTCCTTAGAACTCAGAATGGAGTCACTGATTGTACAGTCTCATACAAATTTGGCTGGTAATTGCCATAGGACACATTGATTCTACCGTACTTGGAAGTGACATAGAAACATCCAGACCAGGGAGAAGAGTCGGTGGAAGAAGATTGGAAGAAGTTTTAAAGACTACCTACAGAATATTGTAAAATTAATGAATGTTAGAATGATGTTGGATAGAATTAAGTGGTTTCCAGCTGTAATGCTTTAGAGAATATGAAAAAAGGGTTATAAATACGTAAAAATCTAATGGTAAGGATTTGCTGAACCAACAATTTGAAGTGGAATACAAAAAAGGGAGGTATGAGGAGGTCCAGGAACAAGCTAAAGAAATAAGTAATGGAAATTCTGTGTGTTTTTACCTATTTTTATTTTGTATTTTTGTTAATTTTTTCATTTTTATTGTAATAATTTAAAAAATCTTAATAAATATCTTACAAAAAAAATAAACTAAAAAAAAAGGAAGTGACATAGAAACAGTTTTACTCCATGATTTCTTGCCTTTCCAGAATTCCGTAAATCTGTGTAAATGCTGAAAATTTTTTGATCAACATCTTTACCCCCTTGCAGAGCTACAGCTCCTAATGTTCCTTGATTGCGAGCTATAGCATTTTAATACACTCTCATGTGTTAGCCTAAACACATTTGTTACAAACTTCCTATTTATGCAATACAAATATACTTGGTTAGAATGAGTTAGGTTTTTCTCCTTTCTACCCCCAACCATTATTTGTACCTACATACAATTAATATCATTTATGAAAAAGCAATTAAACAGATTTGAAACTAGTTAAGCAAAGAATTCAGAAGGACTCATGTACCGTATTTTTCGTCCTATAGGGCGCACCGGCCCATAGGATGCACCTCATTTTTTTGGGGGGGGGGGAGATGAATTTAAAAAAAATTATTTCCCCCCCCCCAGCCGCAGCTGCCGCCCCAAGCTCTGTGCACACCTGCCCGAAGCATGGGGCGCCCTCCGGAGGGCTCCCCGTGCTTCGGGCTGCAGGCTGCCGCCCCAAGCCTCGCGCGCCCGGCGGGACCTCTCGCCGGATGCGTGAGGCTTGTGGACACCCACCCGAAGCACGGTGCGCACCGATGCCTCTCGCTCTCCAGGCTTCAGCGAAAGCCTGCATTCGCCCTATAGGACGCACATTTCCCCTTCATTTTTGGAGGGGAAACAAAAGTGCGCCCTATGGGGCGAAAAATACGGTAATTATTAAGCATGCATGTTCCTAGCTTCTGTCCAATAAGGCTAAGCATTCTGACTTATGGCATTACGAATGAAAAGTTGTCAGTACTTGTTCTCTCTTGCTTTGGCTTTAAAGTCATCAATCACTTTTCGGAACAGTGTTACTGTGAAGAGTCCTCCCTCTGCATCTTCAGTAATCATCCTGTGCGAAAAAGAAAACGTTCATTTCTTTGTTGAAAAAATTATTCTGCCATTTTACACTCGGCACCCAGAAGAGCCAATAACAACAAAAATATCTTATGAGCAGAGCTGGCTCTTAATTAGGGCACACTACAGGCATTTTATGTTCTTTATATGTTTATTTCAACTTTCATTCTTCTTGAGATCAGGAGCATACTAAACAGACATGTATCACATTAAGCAAAGCATCATAGAGCAAGGGACACTAATAAGAGAAAAACAAGCAGCTGTCAAAGGCCTTGGAGGAGGCGATAGCACAATGCCCTGTTGCCACCTAATTCCAGTCTTATCTTCACGAGTGAACTGAGGTAGCCTCCAGTCCGTGTATTTTGCAGAGGGATTAGAGTATACCAGAACTTTAGGTTTGGCTATTTAAAGTGGATTAAAGAAAACTGCCACCCTAGCGCAACAAACCCACTTCAAAAAAACAAACAAAAACAACAACAAGCAAGTAAGCAAGCACCAGCAGACTTTTGTGGCTTGGAAAGTGATGCAGAAATGCATTGAACCAAGTGGGAGGAGTGAATTAATTTGATTAATGAGAAGGTGTGAAAACACAGCACAAGCAAATCAGGATTAAAAAAACAAGTAGGGGACGGGCGCCTACTGACTGGTTTCCTAGAGCCTATAGGAGAAGGGATAAAAAGGTAAAGGGAACCCTGACCATTAGGTCCAGTCGTGGCCGACTCTGGGGTTGCGGCGCTCATCTCGCTTTATTGGCCGAGGGAGCCGGCGTACAGCTTCTGGGTCATGTGGCCAGCATGACTAAGCCACTTCTGGCGAACCAGAGCAGCACACGGAAACACCGTTTACCTTTCCCGCCGGAGCGGTACCTATTTATCTACTTGCACTTTGATGTGCTTTCGAACTGCTAGGTTGGCAGGAGCAGGGACCGAGGAACGGGAGCTCACCCCGTCGCAGGGATTCGAACAGCCAACCTTCCAAATGGCAATCCCTAGGCTCTGTGGTTGAACCCACAGCGCAACCCGCGTCTCACAGGAGAAGGGATACGTACAAGAAATAACACACCCACCAGAAAAATCCAAAGACAGTCACTCATCTACAAACCCCTCACTATTTTTCTTTTGTTTGTGCCAAGGAAGTACCCTCCCAAGACCAGAGTGTGCTCTGCTCCGTGCCGGGAGGAAGCTGCCCAGCAAAACCAGCTTAGCATCGCTTCCTCCCAGCGCAGAGCCCATCGCCCACTGCCGTTGCCCAGCGAACCCATACTCGGCATATAAGACGACCCCTGACTTTTTAGAGGATTTTCCGGGGTTAAAAAGTCGTCTTATACGTCAGAATCTATAGTATGAGGAGAAGGCTTAAGATAAAGCTGACCAGAGAAATGAGCCAGAAATCTCACTTACTTCGTAGAGCGAGGAACCACCATATCAGAGAGAGATTCATACGTTTTTTGCCATTGTACATAGCTTGATCTGAAACGAGAAAGATTAAATTTTATACGGTAGCATCTGTATGAACGAAAAAGTGACTTTTAGTACAAAATTGTATGACAGGCTGCCTTGTTCATAGTAACAACATTGGAACCTCAAGCCTTACGTATCTTACCTAGTATTATATATTGGGTCCAAATTCAAGACAGGGTCCTTATGGTTAGCATGCTTGGAATTCATTGAGTGTTAACACTTTCATGCAAGACTGATGAATGGGAAACCAGCTACCATCTGGGGTTAGACCCGGAGTCAACACGCTGGCCTGGCTTACATCTCCAAAACCGGGGAGGATCAGGATAGTGAGGTCTAGCTCCTTGCCGTAAGCAGGAAAGAGCAGGAAGGGAGGGTTGCCACAGTCCATCACAATTCCGTCTCCTTTTCCAGGGTCCAGAGGTTGTATCATTTTGTATAGGGATTCTGCAGGTGTGCTGTCCACCCCACTGCCTAAACAGTATCTCTGCCTAAGCTGACAGGAGTTGGTCTCAAGAGCTGTTAGAAACCCCAACATTTATTGTCTTAGGAGATGGGGCATCGCCATTCGCACAGGTGCCCTTTTAGCCTGAGCGATACCAAATTTAATAGACCTTGTGACATCCATGGGCTTTTCCCAATTGATATCTGCCCACCCATCACCCACTGCTTTTCAACACCTACATGAAACCGTTGAGTAAAGGTGTTTGGAAATACGGGCTGATATACTGACAACACCCAGTTCTATTTCTCATTTTTTAGCAACACCTTCACCGTTTTACACGCATGTGGGAGCACTGTATGTTTGCTGCTTTGAGTTTAAATTCTACAACCACCTTTTATCTTCAAGAATTAAAACATAGAAACAAACAAACCCTGGTTTCCATCTGCTCAGGGTCTCTCTCTCTCACTGCATTCACATTTTACATCCAAAATGCTTACATGAATTAGTTCAGGGCAGTGGCTATGAGACTGAGCAGTGAACCATACAACCCTGGTTCAAACATGTCTTTGTCATGAACTCTCCAGGTGGCTAGTTTCTACTTTCTCTCAACTTCATATCTGCAAAATGAGGATGGCAGTCATAGTGGCCTTCCTTGCGAGGGTTGCTGAGATAATGCAATATCGTATGTACTTTAATTTCTCTATAAACATGCTGAGTGTGATGACACTGAGCCTGCTGCGGATGGACTTGATTTATCTTACTTGGGAACGACAACAAGGAGAGTGATGAGATACTCTGAATTCAACACAAAGTCTTCTTTGTTCACGATATCCGTTAGCGTACGTGTCAAAAGATTTCCCCTAAGAGAAGACACAAAAGCCAAAAATGATGAGATTCGTGCATTTACTGCTCATTCTTTACAAATGTTTACTAGTGACAGTGGTGTTCGTTGTATCAGAACTAGAAAAGGAGCCACTGGTTTGAGTTCTGGGGAAGGAAATGTTTTCCTGACTTCAGAACACACTGTGCCCCCATGCCTCCCCACAACTTAAGATCAAATTATGGTTGCTCTGTGGGTTTGGAAAAAATTGGGCTCCCTTCAACTTCCCCAAAGCTTGCATTTACTCTTGCTGTTCACCATTCCTTGAAATGTATTTAACCTGAGTCTAGATGGTTTTGTATTATCTATCCAATTTGTATCCTGCTTTCCCACTGTGGCGTTTGCCCTCTAGGTGTGTGACATCATACTGGGTTCATAAGAAAAGGGTTAGTAAAGGTAAATAAAGGTACCCCTGCCCGTATGGGCCAGTCTTGCCAGACTCTAGGGTTGTGCGCTCATCTCACTCTATAGGCCGGGAGCCAGCGCTGTCCGGAGACACTTCCGGGTCACGTGGCCAGCGTGACAAGCTGCATCTGGCGAGCCAGCGCAGCACACGGAACGCCGTTTACCTTCCCGCTGGTAAGCGGTCCCTATTTATCTACTTGCACCCGGGGGTGCTTTCGAACTGCTAGGTTGGCAGGCGCTGGGACCGAATGACGGGAGCGCACCCCGCCGCGGGGATTCGAACCGCCGACCATCCGATCGGCAAGTCCTAGGCACTGAGGTTTTACCCACAGCGCCACCCGCGTCCCTTTAAGAAAAGGGTTAACTAATTGTAAAATGACTAACCAATGGGAACCCAGGGGGCAGAGTTAACTGTGTATAAGGTTTAAGCACAGAGGGTTTTTTGGAAAGAGTTAGAGTTAGGGTGGTTGAGAAGACAGTCTGGAGTTAGAAGAGACAGATAAGTCAAGTCTGTGGGTTGGGCTAGTCTGGTGTGAGAGAGTGAGAGAATTTGTTAAGAGGAGTCAGTCAAACAGTTGAGATAATCAGTCAGAAGGTATTAGGAAGGTATAGGCCAGTAAAGAAATTAAAGTTAAGGTACCGACAGGAATATTATCGGAGAAACCATAAATTTGTTAATGTTTGTAAAATAAACTTGGGGGTTTTTGGTTCACTTTTAACAACTGTCTGGACTCAGTGTTTTACCAAGAGAGTAACTGGTTGGTGGCAGCGGGGAAACGAGCACAGTGGCGGCACAGGGATCAATAGACCGTTAAACATCTGGGGACCCTGTGTGATCTCCACATCCACTGTCAGAGCCACACCTGTCTGTAAGGCTATGTTCTAGTACAGCTAAATCCACTGACATGTTGGGGCATCATCATGGCAAGTAAATATTGCCCAATACATATTTAGATGCAGTGCATGCACGCACGCACGCACACACACACACACACACACACACACACACACACTATACATATATAAGTATATATATGTAAATGCTATACATACACAGTTTTCCTTTCCAGATTCTGAAGATTTCCTTTGATGTTGTTGTACACAGCTGCTCGGTTTTTCATGTCTGTTTCTATTTGTGTAATTTGCTAAATATAAAAGGAGGGAGAGAAATCCAACTGAGCAAAACTGACTCTGCATATGTTAACAGTTTTACATCCCACAAATGCAAAATACTACAACAAAATGTGGATTTTATTGCTAAATTCACCAATATGGCTAGATTCCACCATCAAGCTTTCAGCACACACAGCACCTTGGCAAGTGTGTTTCAAACAGTATTTCAGTCATTCTCAAAACTTTATGGAGCAGATAATTATTATTAATTTTACAAATGACAGAATAAAACAGCTATTTGTTTAAAACTACCACCTAGACCCAAGACGTACTCATGATTTTATGAGATTTCTTAGGTCCAAATGTATATCTTAAGAAGGAAGTATCCCTCTCTCCTCTCAGGAAGAAAACATATGCAGGGAAAAGATTCTTTGATTCCTGCAATTTGCCAGTGTGAAAAAGCCATTGCTTTGGATTTTGTGCTGTATATAGTATGATAGCCTGCTTTAATATCAAACTCATAGCACATATATATATATATGTTGCCCAGATTTGTTTCTGCAGAAATAATCCACAAAACTCACACTGCTTCCAATAAGAAAATAATCATATCTATTGTAAGTCCTGAAAACTAGCTTTTGTGGGGGTGCTTTTCCAAAAGAGATCATATTACCTTTGCTAATGCTTCTGAAATGTTCTTCAGTGGCTGTTTTATAGGATACTTAGCCATGTCCCACTCAAACCTCGTCAGATAACTGATCAAGTCAACTGAAAAGATATGAGTAACTCCAATGAGTTGAAAAGAATAAGAACCACCAGGATGCATTGTTCTCCATTCAGGGGCTGATCTAATATTAACAGTTTCCATCTGACACCTGGCTTTTGCTATCATTTCCATATTTTCAATGCTATTAGGCACCATATAAAAGTGGACGGTTTTAAAATCCATTTTCAACTCACTTGATCATTTTCAGACACGGTGTGTAGATTAGCTATTCAAATAAAAGTTCTGCATGAATTAAAAAAGCAATGCTCAGAATAACTATCCTGTAACACCTGCCTCAGCTGCTAAAGGCAGTGTTCTCATCACAGATGGTTTCCAATCCAAGGGAACTTAAGTCTTTAAACCTTAACTATATAGGAGTTTTGCTGCTGACTTTGTGATGGCATGGATTGTATCCTAAATGGGTACCATCAGCAAAGGCTTGAAGTAGGGACTTTTCAGTTGTGGCACCTAGAGTTTTGGAACTCCCTCCCGAAAGAGACTTGCCTACAGGCCAAACTAAAGGTGACCACCATTCAGGCAATTGACAAGTGTGTGAATGGTCTTTTGTTTCAAACCTTACTTGGTTTGAAAAGTAAAATATGTGGATATTGAGGGGTGTTTTCCCTCCCCCCAGCAAAATATAACAACTCCTCTGTTCATTAATCCTTTGAAACTTTGCTTTGAGATTAAGTCCTCGAAACATAATCTGTCAAGCAATTTTCTATTTTTTTGTGCAATTGTGGGGTTTTTTTTGACAGGGGAGAGTACACTGGAAAGCAGGTTTTGATCATCTAACTGCACTAATAATGTGTGATGGGAAACCTCTCCGATTCTTTATTTTTACTGCTTTTTTTACGCTCCTGTTTGCTGTCAAAATGTTCAGCCTTCACCCAAAAACAATCTAGACTGCATCTGAAAAAAAATGGGCATGTGATGGGGCTCTGGTGTGAAAAACTTCCAATGGTCACCTATTGGTTGTGACTTATACTTAGAGGTTGGGGGTGGGGAATAGTCTGTTGCTGATCACCTTTTTTATTTTTATCTGACTCGCTTGAATGCCTACCGGTAATACTCTCTTCATCTTCCCTGCCCCCCGTCCCATACACCCAACTCAACATGAATGTGGGTCAGACTTTAAACTGGATATCCTGCACTGATGCTGAGCTTGGCTTGCGTGTTTACACCTTAGTGAAGTAATGCAAAACTGATATAAAGCCTGCTGATCTTAGGAGAGGATGTTTTTAAAAAGCACATCTTTAACGGAAGTCTAGTTTTTTGGCTGTGCCTCTGCAAGAATGCCGTTTCTTTCTAACACACAGAGCCGGCACTTTTCAGCAGCTTCCTCTTTCATGACGTGAAACTTGTTCCCCTCGGAGTATCTGAATTTCCTTCCCTAGAGTTTCTCTCGTCTCTCGTCTTCGAAAGAGTCACCTTACAGTCTTAGGTTTCATGGGTATGGAAAGTATAGCATGCACACAGAAAGAGCATGCAGAATGTCCTGGAGTCAGCAGGTGCCATCTTTATCACAGTTCCATAAAGTATATATGAGACGGCCAATACAAGCATAAGAGAACAAGCAGCAGCCCATACAAAAGAAGTAGGGTTTGTTAGGCTCTGTAAGTGCACTCATGATGCTCACCAGAGATGCTCACCCTGCACAGTGCTGATTGGCTGGCACCTATAATATAGCACACAACCTTGGCCATTTTTGCAGGCAAGGATTGAATTTGATGCACAGGGGAGTTCTTTTTTTTTTTAATGCAAAAGGAATACAAGAGGCAATTCAATGGTGGAGAGAACCTGAACTCACACCCTGAGAGCAAAGTTGTGGTATAGCCCTTTAAAGTCAACAGCAAAACTCCTACCAGGTAAGTTCCTATCTGGATTTTATTGCCACAAATGCAGGGCCAAACTAGGCATGATGTTAAATGTGTAGCTGCCATCAAAAACAACATCTGCGCATTGCATTCCTCTTCCCCTTGTAATACCAGGTTGAACTTACCCCAGGTCACATGACAGTGGCCCACATTGCCTGCCCTGGGCCAATGGTAGCCAATAAAAGGAAAAGACACAAAATTTTGTGACATCTACTCTGTAGGCTACCCAGGGCGGGGATAAGGCGCACAAACACACCCACACACCACAGCCATTTCTTGCAGCCACTGCCATGCCTAGTTTGGCCCCCAGTTAGTGGTGACTGCCTAATTAACTAGTCTATTGAGCGGAAAAAATCGGGCTAAGACAAAATAGTCTTGGGAGGATAAACATTTGAAGTCTTAAGCACAGGACCAACAAGTACAAACAGAGGCGTTGCTAGGAATCTAAAAGACTTGGAGCACAGGCCTATGGCATAAATTTGCATATGCTAATTTTCATGCAGCAATGCAAATTTATCCCACTTCCAGGTGGGGCAGGAAACCCAACTCTGACTCTTCCTGACAATGCTTAATTTGCCTCTGGGGCAATTAAGATGGTGGCAGCTAGAGTCTCATTTGCCCCTTGCTTTGCATCACACCCACTTTGTAAGCGAAGCAAGGGGGTGGGGACAGGAACAGGAAAGGCTAGGAATTGGGTCTTCAGCTGGTGAGTTGGGATCCACTACCAGGCTGTGGCGTGATCTAAGGTGGGTCCCAACAGCGTCACTGCCACCATACAAATAGATGGTTAAAAAGTTGGGAGGGGGTTCCCTGAAACGTATTGTTTGAGTAAAAGGCGGGTCCCAGATTTGCAAAAGTTGAAGACTAATGGGCTAGAAGATCCAGGTCCTGGGGCTCAAGCCCCACCCTAACAACGCCCCTGAAAACAGACATGCATAAGAAGTTTTCACACAATCCAATAGTCCCTACATCCTCTTGTTTTACATGCAACGAGTAGTTAGAAGGAAAGAAAGAAAAATATATCCAGGAAAAGTGTGAAAAGAAAGGGGAGGTTGTCAAACCTGCTGTTATCTGAGTCATAGGGAGATGGTGATCGAGCTACGAGGTTGTTACTAGAGAAATCCATCGTAACCTGATCACTGTACCCCTACAACCAGATGTGGAGGCAACTCTTTCATTAAACACACCAGCGCATGCTTGCAAGAACACAACAATCACCCATGCTCAACATACTCTTTAGTAATTGCAGTTTAGCCTTCGCTCCTGAAATATAGTAATTGTGATTATTAAACATGATAAAGACAGGTTAGATTTAAAATTAAGTCTACTGCATACAACAAGATGGATGTCAAAAGAGTGGGATTATGTTCTAGTCTTTAAAAGCTGAAATCCCACTTGGGGGCAACTCTAGGTCTCAGCTGGCCCTGAACAAACTGGTCCCTGGCAGGCTCACCTGGTTATGGTAGTCATGCTATAAGCAAAACCAGGCAACCAGGTCTAGTCACTCTCTTAATTTCCCCTACTGTGATGTGGGAAGGCAAGTGGGTGTTAGGTCAGGGTCGTCAAGGAAAATTAAAAGGTGCTTTTGATCCAACCATCTAGTCCATTTTAGGGTGCCAGGCCATGGGGGGAAATTAAGGGGGGACAAGACAGCAGTGTGACCAAGAATGCCAGGTGCCAACACCAGTCTTGATCCCTAGAAACAGCTTTTGTTGGGATGGGGGAAAGTGTTTTGGAATTAGTACTTCTTCTGTTCTCACCAAATAACTGGTTAGCCAGTGGGGAAAGGAAGCTACAGAAGACAGATCTGGTTGCTCCATCCATTGTCTATTAACAGACTAAAAATCTAGGCTTGGATCTAATTTCCCATCATGCTGAGAGTAGATCCATTAAAACCAATGCAACCAGGGCTTCTTTTTCAGCCGAAACTCAGTTCCGGCACCTCTCAGCTGGGCACCATTGCCATTCTAAGAGAACAAGGGGGAGGTGTTCACGGTGAGTTCCAGTGCCTCTTTTTCTATAAAAATGGCGCTGAATGCAACTAAAGTTTGTCACCACTATTTCAGGAGGTCTGCTTTAAGCATTATTAAGCCTAGATAATTCAACACTGTTTCCTTTTTTTCTTAACTTAGCACCTTTTAATGTTTTAAGCGGGGGAAAATGGAAACTGAATAGATTAGGCATCAAAGGCTTCCGCTCACAAGCACCAACCAAAATTGCATTAGATGCAATTAACTTCTTGTTATAAGTCTTGCAGATCTTCTACCTGATTGCATGGCTCTCAATACTGCATATTCGGGGTTTATTGCACACCCAGGCCGATTTTCCTCATCAAGCCTCAAATGCTGCCAGTTGCCAGATACAATCTAATATAATACAGACCAATAAAAGCACATTGGTTCCCCACCCCTGCTCTACTGGGCTACATAGACCAGATCCTTCCCAGGATTGGTCTCACGGGCCAAATCTGAAGAGTGGGCAATCACCTGACAGCGCAATTATGTCAGGAGACTGTAATTCGAAGTTCTGAAGTGGGGGTAAAAACATTCAACCCAAACCCCTTTCTGATGAGTAAGGGATTAGCAACGGATTCTGTCAAACTGAGCAGGATTTAACCCTGAACTCGTGAGCTGTGGGTTAAATCCTGCTGCACTGGCTGCATGTGCCCCTTTCCCTGCAGGGCACTGTATGTGCAGCCAACACAGAAATGAGCCCACAGGCCAACAGCTCGTCACCCACCCATCAAGGTGATGTCAGCTGATTGACGAGTGGCTGTGATTTTGAGAGAGAAAATGGCCTCATGGACCAAAATGGGACCAGTGGTAGGCCTTGGCTGGCCTGTGGATTAGAGGTTTCCCCCCCACTTCTGATGCAGAGTGATTATGGCATATTTCTCCACGCTATTAGCAAGAAGTAGATGATGGGAGGAAGTGAGTAATAGCCACCTCTGAAAATCCGAACTCATGATGGAATAGTCACAAGATCCCTTTGTCAAGAAACCAGAGGAGGAAGAAAACCAAACCACACCACCTACATCTCACCAAAGAGCAAAAATGATAATCTTTTTTTTTTTAAAAAAAAGAGCAAAAATGATGTTCCCTGATGCCGGCAGAAACAGAGGCTGCCGACTATCTGAAAGGGTTCTTTTCTAAAACTGGAGTAGCAACCCAACTCGTAGGCATATGGATGTATTAAGTCCAGCTTTTCCCATTGGAAACTGGATGAAAACTGGCAGCAATTAAACAAAAAACCCCACATCTATATACTTTGCAGGACCTACCTCCATTTGCCAACAGGTTTTCCTGAACTTTGTCTTTTGAGTCTTCCATAACCTCTCCAATATACTGGGCAATTTTCTTTATTACACTAAAGGCAAGGAGAGAAGCCTTTAAGATAAGTCAAATAAGTTATAAAAAAAAATCATACATTATTTTAAAAAAACTTACAGCAGGATGCTCAAAGCGAATGTTTTTACAGTCACCAGGTCCATATCCTCAGATGGCTCCAAGTAGCCAATTCTTCAGCTCCTTTTCATAGTAGGTAGAGTTGCACACAGAACTATACAAGGCCTGACTTGTCCCATCAGTGCAGGATCATGATAAGGAAAGCACAGCTGGGGCTTGAGTTTGAGTTACAGTGGTACCTTGGGTTACATACGCTTCAGGTTACAGACTCCGCTAACCCAGAAACAGTACCTCGGGTTAAGAACTTTGCTTCAGGATGAGAGCAGAAATCGTGCTCTGGTGGTGCAGCAGCTGCGGGAGGCTCCATTAGCTAAAGTGGTGCTTCAGGTTAAGAACGGATCTCTGGAATGAAGTACGTAACCAGAGGTACCACTGTATTTGAAACCTGTGCCCTATCAGAGGTCCTAGGTGGCACTTTATACTGCAAACAGGTCGTAAAGATTTTGATTTTTCCCTGCTGTTTGGCATGTTGGCTCCCACACATTCCTGTTCCTGTCCCCACCCCACCCCAGTTATGAATATTCACTACTTGCCATCCACACCAGTGGGTGCTGTGTGACAGATTGTACCTCTCAGGCTTCAAAGAATCTGATCCCTCCCACAGTGGCGGCCAAGAAGCAGATAAACAATAAAAGTTCTTATCAAGTAATTTATTCCATATTCACAGAGAGAGATGAAGGATTGCGGTCTCTCCTAGATAATGGCTTTGCTCCAAGTCCCATCCCGCTAGGTCTCTCCTATTCTATGTCACCCCTGCGTCGGCTAATCTGAGCTTTCTGCCTCTGAGCTTTCTGTTCTACTACCCTCAATGCTCGCCTGGTCCTGGGAGGGGGTGTGTGGAATGCTTTCCAAAGACACTGAGTCTGTCCGCTGTCTCTTCCCTGGTGCTTCTTCCTGCTACTCGTCTCCCAATATTTCCCAGCTTCTCCCCACTGCAGCCTCTGAACTATGCCCTTCTGCAAACCACTGTTCTAAATCTATACTGTCCTCCTGTTCTAGGGAAGGTTCAGGAGAAGGGAGGGGACGGCCCCCATCATCATCACCTGAGCTGTATTTGTCCATCCCTCGGCCATGGGCCTAGCCAGGGCTGCGGGGGGCAGCTCCCCCCCATCAAGTAAATAAATAAAAATATTTAACTGACCAATCAAGTCACAGATAGCTCAGTTCTGCCCCTCTCCCCAACAAAAGTCCTGCCCCCTCTAACACAAATCCTGGCTATGCCCATGGTCCCTCCCCTATCCTCTAGTACTTTTTTCTGTTCTGGTCAAGACCACAGGTATTTCTGTACCTGTGCATTAACATCTTGTTTGAAAAGGGGGGGGGGAATCCCACAAGTGCACAAGACCAAATATTCTTGCCAGCTTTAGTTATGTTTTTGTTTTTACAATGGGCAAAACAAGACTTTGGGCCAATCAGTACCCCTCAGAAAGGTCATTTTGAAGCTAGAATAAAATATACCGAGATCTCTGAATGAAAGACAGAATGTAATAAATAAATGGGTCTCCAATAAATAAACGGAACCCCAAGGTCAAGAGTTCATTTTAGCCTTCCTTCTGAAGATTTATGTTGATTGCCAGGTGCCCCATAACCCTTGGCTTTCGCCCACATCTTTCCCCAGCAATTTTTAAAATGGGTTTGCAAAAGGAACGTGCCACTTGATAAGGAACCAAATCAAGAATGACCAGGCAGAAAGGCATCTGAATGCCAAATGCTGCTTTATAGTGACATGGAAAATTACTCAGTCTCCCTGTGTAAATAAGTAATAAAAGTACATGGAAACAATAGACCCTGAAAACTCTTGCCCCTTCTCTGCTGTCCTGGCCAGAAGCAGTGCTGACAGGTTTCTGCTGCCTAGCTAGGTTTACTTGCACTTCTCTCGGTGTGTTGATCCAATAACAGCTCTGGCAGCAGGGTGTTTCAGCGGAGCAAAAATGTAAACGCCTGGCCTGGCTCATTTGCATAGTTCCAGATCAACTACCATCATGGGAGATGATAAAATCATAAGGCAAGCAGGCCAAAGACCTGCTGGAATAATTGCCTTCAAAAAGGCATCTAAATGTCGTTGATTTGTAATCCAAATTTGGCACCTAACGGTATTAGGATCCCAGTCAGAAAATACGTTTTGCTACAGAGCCACAATGAGAAGGTGGCAGCTGTGGGTAAGGTGTCTCAATTTTCTTTCTTTGTGGCTCCTCAAGGCTCCAGGAGCACACCCAAGCCTCTTTTCTTCACTCTCTAGTGTGAAGGCTCTCCTTCCTCTCTGGGGGGGGGGAAGAATCGGGGCTCGTTGCCTAGCAACAGGCTCCGAATGCTCCATTACTTCTTCAGGATAGCCTGAAAGCCTGGAGAAAAATGGCAGGCTATAGTATACTTTCCACTAAATAGGCTAACGAGGAGAAAAGAGGGAAGGGAAACGGTGACGCACAAAGGAGCAAGCAAGTAGAGTCAGAGTTTTCCATTCATTCATTCATCCTGCTTACTTGACTCCTCCTTTCACACTTTTCAACTGGAAACAGGAAAGGGGTCAGGCAGCACACATACTCTGCCAAAGAACTGGATCTGGCTAGTGGCTGCTCACTGGCAAAGCCAACCTTGGTATCTGGAATAGACAAATCCATCTCAGGCCTACTCATGCCACATTACCCGTCTCCAGCTCAGTGCTGTGCTTTAGTTCTGGCTAACTGAATTAGGCAACTGGCTGTTGCCAAAGTAGAAGACACCCGTTCATGCTACTGTGGTTCTGGGTTGACAAAATATTTCCGCCCCTCAGGGCCCGACAAGAAGTGGCAGCCCTACAGACATGTAGAGTCTGAATGTGAGGACATTTTCTGGGAGGTAAGACCTGCCAGTGGATACTGTCTTTAAACAAAATAGGAGGCGAAAGAAGAAGAGGATTATTGCTGTAACCACTGGGCTGTTTATATTGCGAAATGCAACAACAACAACAACAACAACTTTATTATTTATACCCCACCCATCTGGCTGGGTTTCCCTGCCCATGTGGCTGGAAAATGCTGTTTCCTTGCCCAGAGCCAGCCTGTGCAGAAGTGTCCCAGTTCCATGCACTGCAAAGAACACAGAATATAGGAGGAAAAGTACCAAGTTTCACAGGGATTTGCCTACCTACTCCCAATGTGAAGTCCACCACCTGCACTAATCCCTGACGTTTCCTGTATAACTGTTGGACGAAGGAGAAAATGCAGGACCAAGCCTTATTTAGGGATAATCCTTTTCTAAAGAAAAGTCACACCTACTCACCCTGGCTGAATCCTAAGGCTAAGGTTAAAGATGCCTGTGTTAGGTTGACACAGGAACACTGTGTCTTGTAAAAACAACACCCATTTGCTCTTTGTGTGTAGTAAATAAGTTCTATTTTACCTTTCAGCAAAGCTATCAAGTTTCCCCAACTCATCTGAGAGGCCAACGAGAGCATCCAGGGTCCCCACCTGGAGAAGGGAGTACAAACACATTAAGCTTAAGCTAGCCAACCACAGGGCATATTTTACCAGACATTTAATTTTTCAAAGTGACCTTTCTTTAGCAAATGAGAACTTCTTGCTATCAAATAAGTATATTCATGGGAAATTCAAGGGAACGTTTTCCTCCAGTGGAAAACGGTTGCAATGGTTCAAAACCTACTTTTAAAGAAGTTTTTAAAAGCCTGTTCTAAGTCAGGAAAAGATTCTATGCTGTAGTCTCATGATCAAAAGCCACAGTGGAATTCTTCCCAGTTTTTAAGTTCCTTAAAACCTTCTTGCTCATCATGTAAAACACTGTCTCCCTGAGCCACTAAAGTCAGTACAAGTTTTGCCACTGACTTTACTGCCAAGTCTTATACATATCTACTCAGAAGAAAGTCCCACTAAATTCAATGGGACTTGCTTCAAGGTGAGAGAGTATGTATAGCATTGCAGTCAGAATTCTCATCCTTAGAGATGAAGGATCCTTACTTGTGGGGGAGCAATTCTTTCAATTAAATTGATGATTTCTATTCTTTTTTATATTAAAAAATACCTGTTACAAACAGAACAGCTGTTTTTAAGATATGAACAAGCATTTCTGTCATAGTTGCATGCTTACATTACAGCCTTCTAATATGTCTACGTCTGCAAGGAAAGTGAAAATCGATGAATGCTCATCAAACGAAAGCAGCTTGCCAATTGACAGAAAAATCCACACATGAATTTGAGACCATCTAGACAGCAAGGTCATAGCTCATATTGAATGGTGAGATCAGACTTCTCTGTCAGGAACATAGCCAATTTTAACCACCAATAGATATTTGAATACTTCGACAAATTAGGCAATCCTCTTTCTAAAAGAGCAAATAGTTGAGCTCAAACATTTAGGAGATTCAAACTGGCTTCAGCTATATTAATGTAACAAAAGCTAACAAGCTTAACTTAGAAGAAGCCCCCCATTGAATTAAATGGGACTTAATTCTCAACATGTATAGAAACCTTTTGCAACAGACCTTTTGCAAACCAATCTTACTGGAAGTAAGTTCAACTGAGTTTGGCGGCATTTACTATTATGCAAGTGTTTGTGCTGCAACACTTACCTGGGAGTAAACCCTCATGGAAGTCAGTTTTGCAAACATATATGAGGGCTGCACATTGCTCATCTCAGGGCTTTGACCAGTCAAAAGTTGCCCATAAACTTTATTATTTACAAAAAGGATTTCAAGCCTTCCCAGAGATGACAGCTCTGATGGAAAGTTTAAAATCTTTTTCCCCCTATGAAGAATTAATCCATTGATTAGCTGTACAAAAATGGCTTCCTATTTTCATTCCTGATCTCAAGACACCTCAAAAACAAAGTATATAATCTTTGCTTGACCCTTTATAGTCATTTTAATATTGCAGCACAAAGCCACCTCACGAAGAAAAATCTGCCCCATCCCTGCCCCTTTCTTCATGTTGTTGTTCTGAGTCCGTCCGTCCGTCTGTCCCCCCCCCATTCTCCCATCTTTACCTTGAGGTCAGGGATGATGAACTTGCTGTTGCAGGACAGGTTGGCTTTGGCAGTCACTGTGTTCATCCTGTCCCAGGCTATTAGGTTTGCCTTATCTCCAGGTGCCGAAATTAACCAGAATTCTGACATGGTGCAAGCAGTTCCCTTCACTCTTAAATCACTGTAGCCAAAAACTAAGGTAACCAGAAAAAGAAAAAGAAAATCACCCTGGAGCAAAAAAGCCCCCACAATAGATCAGGTCAGAGGAAATTATCTTCGATGTAGAGTAAGTTTTTCAAAAGCAGCAAGACGATTAGTATTTCTGCCTAGTCACCTTTCAATCCAGATCTTGACTAAATGTGACCTTTCCCTGAATGTTATCATAGGGCAGTACAGTGGTTCCTTTTTTTCCTGCTCTGGGTTGTTTCATCTGGTCCATGGGGAGGAGTCTGCAGTCACAAGGTCACCGATGCCTGAAGCAATCCACAACATTTGCAAAAGTAATAAAACCAAATTCTAAGTCCTGTCACATTGATTGGAGTACTGTACAACTATTCTAAAATAAACCTATCATGGACTGCAAGCTAAAGGGTTTTGATCAGAGTAAGAAAAAGGGGGGAAACCTTCTCAAAAATGGCATTGAAGATTGGAAAACCTTTTAGACTTTTCTTCAAGTTAAAATACAAATCATATTTTAGGACATTTAAAACTTCACTGTGAGAAAATGTAAGTGTAAACCAATCTTTACTCTTGGGAAAAAAGATACCTGCTGCTAGGTCACTGACATTCTATTACTGTTCATCTCAGGCAAGAGGTTAGTGAAGCCTAGGCACTGGAAACTGAAAATGGCAAAAAAGTGAGCAAAAAATGTACATAATGTAACTAACAGATATCTTAAAGGGGGGGATCTATTTAGTAATTAAAAACTAAAGGAGCCCGCCCTTCTGTCCCAGATTTAGAACTCAGTGGCTAACTTCTCAATAATACAATAAGAATGAAAAATGAAACACAATAAAACAATACAGTAAAAATGAAAAGTAGTATGCTCTTGCCTCAATCTCCTTGTGTGCAAGTAAGACTTCCATACCTGTATCCCTAACTCTGGATCAGAAGCCCTGATGTCTACTTGCTCAAACTGCAAAACGCGTATGATCGTAATCCATCTCACAGGGCTGGTGTGTGATCAAGCAAGGTATTTTTTATTAGCAACATTTCTATGCCGTCTTTTCACTAGAAGTGCCCAAGTCAGCAAAGAATAAAAATTAATTCCATCTTTAAAAGTTCGGAATAAATGGCAGGCAAATAATACATGAAGCTTGTCACCAAGCAGGCATGCCCAGCACTCATTTCTAAACCTGTTCCTGTTAACTGTAGCAAAATCAAGCTAACGACATGCACACACCACCACTAACGTACCATTAGGAAGGATAGAGGAGAGAGTTTTCTCCTTCCATCAGGTTTTAGCTCATTCATCAGGTGGTTTTTCATCAGGAACACACCTGTAGCCAACTTACTCGTTTGACACACCAAGTATTACATTAACAGACAAATTAGCTTTTGCTCTAGGAATACATATCAAAGGCACTAAAAAGGAGGGGGAAATGACTGAATTTTAATGGACATAAACATACTACTACAAATACTCTTTAAACAGTGTTGCTTTCAACAATTCAATATACAATTTATCCTGGTGAGGATTCCTGTTCTGAACCCCCTCCCCCAAGCACAAAGGACACCCTTGTATAGCCTTTGGATTTTGCATTTTGTTACCTAAACAAATGTTACCTATGTTTTTTATATTCTGCTGGAAGCGTCCCACGAGTGGTTGGGGAAACCTAGCCAGATGGGTGGGGTATAAATAATAATAAAACAATTATTTATTTAATTTATTTATTTATTTATTTATTATTATTATTATTATTATTATTATTATTATTAAACCTTGACCCTTTTCATCTCCAGTTTGGCATTATAAACTGCACATTGCCTCTCAACTTCACCTTTTAGGAGCTCTGTGAACCCCACCCTCCCCTCCAAACCTTAAGACCCTACCTAATAACTTTTTCTATGGATGCTTGACTACCGTTTCATCAGCTGCAACTTACATTACATTTCGCTTTTCATTGTGGCTCTTCAAACTCGGAAAGGCTGGAGCTCAATTTGTCTCCCATCATCTCCACCTCGGCTGTTTTGAGGAAAAGAGCCAAAGAACGACCAAAGCCACACACAAGCGCCCAACGTCCGATAATTAGAGCATTCTATTCTCATTAAGCAGCTATCTTAAACACGAATATTTTGTTTTAACTTAATAGACGGAGGTGCAGGGCAGGGCGGGGGGGAGTCCATCCACGACGGCTCGCCCCCCTCGGAGCTTATCCAAAGCTGAGCCCACCGGAGCCTTTTCCCAATAGGATTCTTCAGCCGAGCGAAACGCAGAGGCTTTTGCGCAAAGGCGTCCAAACCACCTTAAAGGGCGGCGGCGGCTAAGAGCCGCAGATAAAAGTTTTCTGCCGCCTTACCCACCGAAGAAGACCTTCGGGTATTTACACGGGCTGGCGGCTCCCCTTCCCGGCCAACGGCCGGCCCGCTGAGCCACCCGCAGCGGGCGGAGCTCGGAGGCGCCTTCTCCTCCACCTCCTCGCGTGCAATAGTCGCCGGCGGGGCTTCTTTCTGCTCCGAGCTCTGCATGTCTTGAGCAGCCTCGGGGATTATTTTGCACCCAGGAGGTGCTACCTGGACGCCCCGCCCTCTTCCGCAGCTTTCCCGCCTCCCCATCCCCCTAACTGGCGTATCAATTTAAGGGGCACTTGCCACGGGTTAACTCTACCCCCCAACTGTCCCATCGTCAGGTTTCAGATGTGTGGTGGGCACACACAAATGTGGATGGTGTCCAAACTTATTCAAGGAAGCAAAAATGCGGGTGACTCTAATGATGACGACAACAACAACAAATTATTATTTACAGTGGTACCTCGGATTAAAAAGGGACGCAGGTGGCACTGTGGGTTAAACCACAGAGCCTAGGACTTGCCGGTCAGAAGGTCGGCGGTTTGAATCCCTGCAACGGGGTGAGCTCCCGTTGCTTGGTCCCAGCTCCTGCCAACCTAGCAGTTCAAAAGCACGTCAAAGTGCAAGTAGATAAATAGGTACCACTCCGGCGGGAAGGTAAACGGCATTTCCGTGTGCTGTTCTGGTTCGCCAGAAGCGGCTTAGTCATCACATGATCCGAAAGCTGTACGCCGGCTCCCTCGGCCAGTAAAGCGAGATGAGCACCACAACCCCAGAGTTGTCAGCAACTGGACCTAATGGTCAGGGGTCCCTTTAACTTTACCTCGGGTTAAGTACAGTGGTACCTCGGGTTAAGAACTTAATTTGTTCTGGAGGTCCGTTCTTAACCTGAAACTGTTCTTAACCTGAAGCACCACTTTAGCTAATGGGGCCTCCTGCTGCCGCTGCGCCACCGCTGCACAATTTCTGTTCTCATCCTGAAGCAAAGTTCTTAACCCGAGGTACTATTTCTGGGTTAGCAGAGTCTGTAAACTGAAGCGTCTGTAACCTGAAGCGTCTGTAACCCGAGGTACCACTGTATATGCTGCCCATCTGACTGGGTTGCCCCAGTCACTCTGGGAAGCTCTCAACATAAAATAGGAAAAGCACAATAGGACATCACACACTAAAAACGTTCCTTGAACTTAGTACCAGAATATGCAAGTGTGGTTAGCTATACATGGCTATTTACAGGGATGCATTTTGGGCTCCACACAGGAAGGACCCCAAACGCCTAGTGCACTTGACACAACACAATATTTATTTATTGACGCCTCAATACCTTCCATGTGTGCCGTGTCAGGAAGATTTGGGGCATCACATGGCAGGACAGAGTCTCAAACAAAGATGTGCTCTCCCAAGCCCACTTTCCCAACACGTTTGCACTCCTGTCTCAGCGACGTCTGCACTGGCTTGGTCATGTCCACAGAATGGAACATGGCCGGATCCCCAAGGACGTGCTCTACGTGGAGCTGCCTTCAGGCACTAGGCCCATTGGAAGACCAACTCTGCACTACAAAGAAGTTTGCAAACAAGACATGAAGGCTGGCAACATTGACCTCCGCATGTGGGAATCCCTTGCAGACGACTGCAGCGCTTGGAGACAGACAGTCAGGCTGTGTATCCACAACAGTGACCAGAGAAGGAATGACCACTGGGAGGAGCGCAGAGAGAAAAAATGCAATGGTGCATCTCATACAGAATCAGAATTGTAGAGAGTTAGAAGGGACCCTGAAGGTCACCTTTTCCTGGACAGCTTCATCTGCCCCAGCTGGATAGCTTCATCTGCCCCAGCGCGATAAAACATATCTCTCCCATACCAGTCTCTACAGCCACAGCAGGCGCTGTAACTCTCCAATGGTTTGGCAACACCCCTGCAGGCACACTCTTCCATTGTCTCCCAAGACAGACAGATGCCAACCATTTATTACATTTCTATCTGACCTTTTCTTCCAAGCCTGCATGTTATCACTGCAAAATCCTGTGATGTAGGTTAGGCTGACAGACACTGAGTGGCCCAAAGTCATGGTCAAATGGGGACTAGAAGCCTGTACTCCCAGGTCCTAGCTTGTCACACTATCCACTGGCTGGAAACAGTACAGAGAATAACAGTTAACAATATGGCGATTTCCAGTGGAGGTTAGCGTACTGCAGTGAAAAAAAACCAAAGGACTTGTGGCACCTCAAAGATTAACCAGTTTATTACTGCACAAGCTTTTGTGGTCTACAGTCGATTAAGAGCACGGCTGGTTTTTGTTTTATGTAAGCTGTGCACTTTAAGAGCCATCGTTTAGAAGGAGACCACATGTTTTTTACGTTAGAGGACCCAGGTTGCATCCCTGATTTCTCCAAACAGGGCTGGGACTGGGAGGGACCCTTGCCTGAAACTGTCAACCGCATTGGGCTTAATGGAACAATGGACTGATTTGGTAGAAATTTCCAATATGAATGGCTATGGAGTTGAGCTCCACTCTCAGACCCACCCAAAACCACAGGCCTCCACCACCCCAGACCCATCAAAATATCACTTGGCTATGTCCCCTGCCTCCACCACTGGAGTGTCAGCCCCAACTTCTGACCAATTCTTTAGAGGTTTATTTCAAGAAATCAGTAACTCCACTCAGCGGGCAAGAAAAGGCTCAGCAGTGCATTTGTTTATTATATAATGTTACCTCACACATATTTATTTGAAAGAAGGCACTGCAAAGGAGGGGGAGTGCAAGGGAGGGAGCTAAAAATATGGCTTTGTGTGACTCCAAATATTTTCTTTATATGAACCCAGAGAAGCTCCCTTGATGAAAATCCTAATCCTGTGGTCATGTGGGGCTTAGGTGGGGAGATGCTGTAGTGTCTGTCTCCATATATAAGGCAGGTCAGCAGGCCAATTAAATTATTATGCCTATAAGGTAAAGGACCCCTGGACGGTTTTGTTGTTCTTGTTTAGTCGTTTAGTCATGTCCGACTCTTCGTGACCCAGGCACTCCTGTCTTCCACTGCCTCCCGCAGTTTGGTCAAACTCATGCTGGTAGCTTCGAGTTAAGTCCAGTCAAAGGTGACTATGGGGTTGTGGTGCTCATCTTGCTTTCAGGCTGAGGGAGCTTGCGTTTGTGCACAGACAGCTTTCCGGATCATGTGGCCAGCATGACTGAACCACTTCTGGTGCAACAGGACACAGTGACATAAGCCAAGGCGCATGGAAACAGAGTTTACCTTCCTGCAGCAGTAGTACCTATTTATCTACTTGCACTGGTGTGCTTTTGAACCGCTAAGTTGGCAGGAGCTGGGACAGAGCAATGGGAGTTCACCCCATTGCACAGATTCGAACTGCCAACCGATCGGCAAGCCCAAGAGGCTCAGTGGTTTAGACCACAGCACCACCTGCTCCCATTTTTTACCTTATTATGCCTATAGGACTGCCTCTCCCCATATGAACTGACCTTGACCCTGCAATCATCATCTGTTAACCAGAAGGTTGGTGGTTTGAGCTCCCCCCTCCTTCCAGGCACGGCTGTAGGCAGGGGGTTGGAAAAGGTGACCTTCAGGGTCCCTTCTAACTCTCTACAATTCTGATTCTGTATGAGATCCTTATTCACGTGCCTCCTCTGCTAGAGGTCCAGAGGGCCGCAACACGTGTAAGGGGCCTTTTCTGTGGTGGCTCCCCGCTTGTGGAATCTTCTCCCTAGGGAGGCTTACCTAGTGCCTTCCTTATGTATCTTTAGGAGCCAGGCAAAAAGATTTCATCTTCCCTCAGGCCTTTGGCTAATTAAACAAATATATGACCTTTTAAACAGTGTGGTGTTATTGTTTCGTCAGCATATTATGTATTTTTGTGTTTTTATACTGTAAACTGCCCTGTGATCCTCAGATGGATGAAATTTAATAATAATAATAATAATAATAATAATAATAATAATAATAATACAATTATAGTGATAGTGATAGCAGACCCACTAAGTGTCTGTATTTTCCAGAGACGTCCCTAATTTAGAGAAGGCGCCCCAGTTTCAGATTTGATCCTGGAATGTCCCATTTTTCCTTAGGATGTCCCTATATTCATTGCAGAAATGTTGGAGGGTATGGAGTTATCCGACCCCCAAGCTATCTGAAGGCAATAAATACAGTACAATGGACAAAAGTACAAAGATTCACAAAATGTTTAGGGGTATGCGTACCCCTGTGTACTCCCAGAAAAAAAGCACTGAGTGTAGAGACGGTTTTTAAAAACGTTTAATTTAATGTTTTTATATATGTTGGAAGCTGCCCAGAGTGGCTGGTGCAGGGCCACCCAGTCAGATGCGTGGAGTATAAACAGTAAAATGACCATTATGGAAAGGAGTAAATGTGTTGGAGGGAAGGACGGCCTGTGTGGAACTTCCTGCCTCTCTAGGGTTTTTTCCTGCCTCTGAATTCTATGACCGGATGTGTTCCTCTATGACCCTGGAAGTGAAGCCCTCTCGCCGCCGCTCAGGAGAAAAAAGAAGCATGCAGGTCTCCAGCCTCAACGAGGTGAAGATCTACAGCTTAAGCGCCGGACGGAGCCTGCCTGAGGTGAGAGCCCCGGAGCCCCGCCTGCCTGCCTGCCTCCCTCCCTCCCCGTCGGTAACCCCTCGCGCGCCTCCTTCCTCTGCCCACGGGCGAGCTCCTTCCCACGCACCCCGTGTCTTCCCTTCTCTCTCCCTTCTCTTCCTCCGCCCCTCTTTCAGTTCCCGATGGAGGCGCAGAAAGTACATAGGTACCAACAGGGGTTTGTAAATGATCCCGAGCGACTGCTAAGCATCTCTTGCTTTCTGCACCCTTTTATTTTTTATATATAATTTTTCATTAGTTTTTTTAACATATCATTTTCAACAATAATTAAACATACTTTTACATCTTATTCAAATTTTTGACTTCCACCAATCCTGTCTGAAAATTTCCCAATCTAATCTATCGGTATGCATTTCTTATCTTCCCTATTACATTTCAAACTCATAACCAATATCTCTATCTTTTTCTGCTTTGTAACACATCGTATATTTCTCCGTACAAAACTTTTTGTAGTCCTACTAGCATAATTTGTTGATTACAGTTGCTCTTCAAATAATTCATATACTTCTTCCAATCTTCTGTAAATCTCTGGTCCCACAGGTTTCGAATCCTTCCTGTCATTTTGTCCAATTCTGCTTTCTGCACCCTTTTAAAGAGGCACAAGTCACA